AACCTAATTCATCGTTGTACCAACTGTCCAATATTAGATGTTAAGCACAAATACTACACTGTCTTGGAGAACTAGCCAGCCAAACTGGTCAAATCGTTCCGTTTGATGAACAAACCATTCAAACCTACTAGCTTAGGGTGTCTCCTCAACAATCCTCATAACTATAAGAATGCAAAAGTCAAGACTGATACTACTGATTGACATATGCCACATCCTAATTTTTAAGCCGCATAACACACATTGTGGTTTTTTTCACTAAATCATCATGGACAAACTTTTGCGCGACATGACTTATATTTCAATATTTTATTGTACACATATAAAAAGAAGAGAGGGGCTATGTTTAGATATTTTAATGGAACCTTGCTCAGTGACTCCCATAGAACTATTTTTGTCCTCTCTTTCAGCTAAATATTCTCCTCTTCTCAGCCATGAGGGGAATAAAAAGAATATATAGTTAAGACATGAAAAATTCGTCCGTCATCTTCTTTCATCTTTCTTACACATCTCTCTCCTGGGTCATGTAAACCCACAAACACTACAAAACTCTACATTTATTTCAAAACTAATTATTCTATTAATTAAAGTCAAGCGCAGCTTAGTGAAATTCATTAAAACTCAAATCTATTGTGTGCCACTTGAATCCTTATCACCCATAAGATAGATAGATATATCATATATATATATATTATATATATTTCTTCAAATTTAATTTTCTATAAAAGATAATATTTGAATACAATTGTCTTATCTAAATTTTAAGAAAAAATAAATTTAAAAATAATTAAATAAATTTTTGATGTATGAAATATAAATTTTGATTAATTATTTATATACTATATTTTTTAAGAAAGCAACAGCTTTAATTTGTTTTAATCAAAGTTATTGTTTTCGACAGAGAGAAGTTATAGTTTAGAAAATAGTAATTTTAACAAAAAGATGCAAAATAATCGACTAATCAATGTCCTTCAACTAAAGAAATATTTAAAAGTTTTTTTTTTGTTTAATTATTGAATGTTATATTCTAAAATCTTAAATGTTTAAAAATATTTTTATTTATATATATATATTTTTTAATTCAAACTCTTAATATATAAAAGATTTGTTTGAATATGCTTATTAAATTGTGGTCATTTTAATTTTTTGGATAATGAGAAAAAAACTTGGCATTAAATATCAAATTTATAAGTATAAAATTTCTTATTCATCATTTATTTTATCATAATATATTTATTAATATATTCTAACAAAATTTTTCTTAAAGGGCGTAAAAAGAATTTATATAAAAACATTTTTTTTTGGGACATCACTTTAAAAATTTTATAATTTCGTCGCTAAAAAACGCCACCGCACCAAATAAGTTGCCCCAAACGATTTCGTCGCTAAAAAACGCCACCACACCAAATAAGCTGCCCCAAACGGACCCTAAGTTATATAATCACTGCATGTGCTCAATACAATAGTTGAAGTCATATTTATGAATTAAATTTTATTTGAATATTCAATATATTCAAAAAATTTAACAAAAACAAACCTTAAACTCATAACATCTACTTTAAGATGATCACTTAAATATCATTTAAATTTTATAATCATTCTTCTAAAAAAAATAGAATTAAGATTACACATTGTCGTAGACTATGGGTTAATAAAATGATTAATAAAGTTAATAAATGATTTCCAAAGATAAATGTAGATTATAAGTAAGAATGATAAAAAGGATGTTGATAAGTGTAAAATTTTATCATAATATATTAATTAAATCTTTATTACTATTTCAATCAAATGTTATTATTTATATAATGATGAATTATTATTAATTAATATATATATTATTTCAAGCTAGATCGAGTGAACATGATGAAACAAAAAATTTATTTGTATTTAACACATTTATAATTCAAATATAAATATTCAATCTTGAGCTATTTAACGAATCGAAAATGAATCGTTCACAAAGAATGAAGTTTTTAGAAAACAAATAATAATAATAATAATAATAATAATAATAATAAAGCAAAAAAAAAAGAGGCTTGATGTGCTCCATATCAATTTGAGTCTGTTCCAAAATGTCGAACCCCAAACAAAGATGCAATTAAAGTTACTGATTTGTTTGCCGACTCGTGAGGATTTGCACGGGGGATGCTGTTGTATTTGTCTTAAGTGTTGGAGCCCGATTTTTCCCGCTCCCGCCTCCCCGATCTTGAAACTTCACGCGAAACATCGCGATCCCACTCCCGCTCTTGTTCGCGAAGAGTCGCGCCTCCCGCCTCTTCAGTCGCCCGCCCACCGACGTCAACCGCTCTCACCTTCCTATGTTGTGAAGCATAGCATCCCTTCGCTCCATTTTCTTCGTGATAAAAGGCTTCAGACGACTCTCCTTCCGTTTAAGAGATTACGTTTTGAGTTCTTCAGTTTCCTCATGATAGAGGAAGGAAAGTACAAGAAGTAGTTCCTTGCAACAGAATGAAGAAGAAAGAAGAAGAAGTATATTGTCCTCCCTAGGCTTCTTCGTGGTGGCTTGTGGCAGAAAATAAATTAGATTTATTTCTCTTGTAAGTTTGTCTTCTTCAGTGTATCTCGGTGTAGAGAGAAAAGAACAGAGAGAGAAGAAGAGAGAGCAACGAAGTAAGAGTGAGAAATTCCTCTTGCAAGTCGAGGTGATCGACTGATATAAATTCCTTAAATAGTAAAATCCACTGTCACTCCGTGGACGTAGGCAATTTGTCGAACCACGTAAATCTGTGTGTTCTTTTCTGGTGTGATTTTTCTCATTCTATTTCTCACTTCGTCGATTTTTCTCCTATTTGATTTATATATATATATCACATCAACTGGTATATCTAGATCTCACAACAACAACAACTGGTGAATGATTCAAGTTGGAGGATTCATGGTGGAGGATTCAAAGTGGAGAATTCAGTTCGAGGAAGGAGACGTTGTAGCAGGTGTATCAGTCTCCAAGGGGGAATCAGTCTCCAAGTGGAAGATTGTTAAGCGTTGGAGCCCGATTTTTCCCGCTCCCGCCTCCCCGATCTTGAAACTTCACGATCCCGTTCCCTCTCCCGTTCGCGAAGAGTCTCGCTTCCTGCCTCTTCAGTCGCACGCCAACCAGTCCCGCCTTCATATGTTGTGAAGCATATCATCCCTTCGCTCCCTCCTGTTCGTGATAAAAGACTTCAGACGACTCTTCTTTAGTTCAAGAAGTCACATTTTGAGTTCTTCTTTGGTTTCCTCAGGATAGAGGAAGGAAAGTACAAGAAGTAGTTTCTTGCAGCAAAAGGAAGAAGAAAGAAGAAGAAGAAGATTGTTCTCCTTAGGTTTCTTCGTGGTGACTTGTGGCAGAGAGAGCAACAAAATGAGAGTGAGAAATTCCTCTTGTAAGTCGAGATGATCGACTGATGTAAATTCCTCAAGTAGTAAAATCCTCTGCAACTCCGTGGACGTAGGCAATTTGTCAAACCACATAAATGTGTGTGTTCTTTTCTGATGTGATTTTTCTCGTTCTATTTTTCACTTCGTCTATCGTTCTCCTGCTTGATTTATATATATACCATGTCAACTGATATATCTAGATCTCGCAACAACAACAATTTGTCCACCAATATCTTCACCAGAGAAAAACTCCACACAACATATGGGACACTTGCAGATTCTTGCCTTGGCTTCAAGTTGCGAAGAGAATGAGTTCAAGCTTACATGAATCGAATCCTTGCTCATCACCGTTGTCTTCCTATCACCTACAACTTCCATTTTGCATTCTCTGTGAATGTCTCCATCTTTTATTTTAAGATCACAAATAATTTTCATCTTTTATTTGGGACTTCTCTTTAGGTGAGGGAATTGTCTAATTTTTTTTCCTTTTGAATAGCTTAATTCAACTTATTACTAAGCATTGTTAGGTGTTTTTTCTGTTATTTCCTTTCTGATTTATACGAAAAATATGTATTGAAAGCTTTATCCTGTTTGTGGGGCTCTTTCATAATTCACAATACTACTCGGTCTCTATTTGCTTTGGTGAATAATGATGCAAATGCTACAAGAATGTAGCTTAAAAAAAAAATGTCTTTATTGGATATATTTTAAAATTGTTTAATTCATAGTAAAATAAATACTAAATTTTATACTTTTGAAATTAATTTTAAAGAAAGTAAATTCAATGTAAAATAAATTCATTAAGATTAGCGACGGCGAGCGGCTAACAGTGGTGGCAGACGATTTGTGACTGCTGCGGCAATAGAAGTCGGCACCACAACACATCTCAAACGCCGCTTTAAATCGCTATTAAGGGTGCATATAGGACAACTTGTGATTATTCATAGAAACAGTTTATCTGGAAACGCGGATCGCGGGGATTTGAACCGTGTACCACATTTAGTATAAAAAAATAACTGTGTTTTCAGATAAGTTTTTCAAATGCTATTTCCAAAGGATGAGACGGCGTTTTCCAAATGATGAAACTGTTCGACTGGTGTATCACGTTTAGCGTAAAAAACTAACGGTAATTTTAAAATACCGCAGCAGCGGATGAGGTGCCCCAAATGAAGCCTAAAAAAGGGATAAGAGGAAGATTTAAACCACCACTAATAAAATCGTCGAGGTTGGTTAAACACTTAATCCAGGCATAATGTATTGAAAACATTTCCTTATTATTCCTTTTTCTCGCAGCTGCCTCCTCTATTGCGTGCAGAGAGCGCGCACACAGAGCCGCATTGTTTCAAACTCTTATCAGCTCTGAGTGGGCTCCACACACAATAATTAGACCACCGGCTCACTCGATTTCCACAGGGCCTCATTGTTCCGAACTCTTAATGCAATTTTGTATTAAGAGTCCATGTGGCCCCAACTTAATTCTAATACACTTTTGCTGGGAGTTCGCTCAGTTCGCCATTTTTCTGGTTTTTTGTTCGTTGAGCGGAAGGATCTCACGCCTGCAGCCCCCTCTTTTGTCTCGGCCGGTTTCTCGCTGGCAGCCTCCTCCTTCTGTGAGTACACTCAATGTGTGACTTCTTAGGGCTTTCTTTCCTCTCCGTTAAGCTGAAGGCTCTTCTTGCTGATCTTTAATGCCGTCGGTTTGTTGATCTCTATTGTCTTTGGTATGCTTTTTTTGCAACATTACCTCATTTCTTCCCAGGTTTTATTTGGCTTGCAATTTTTAAGAAATTCCATTCATCACTGGTGACCCCAGGCTCTCTCCTTTGATTTCTCAGGTAGCTGAAACTCTTTGCTTCTATCAAACCTGCGGTACTGTTCCATAACCACTCCTCTATTTTGTTCAGGTTTTCTTAGGGTCTGTTTGGGGCAGCTGCAGGTTATCCAGCTTCTGCTGATAAGCAGCTTATCCTGATAATCTGCTGATGAGCAGCTGATCCGGATAAGCTGGCTGTCTGTTTGGTTTGTGTGTTTGAAAAACAACTGATTCTGGATAAATGACTATTCTGCCTCTATTTTGAATAAGTTGTTTGATTTGTGCGTTTTGTAAACAACTTATTTGTAGATTTTTTTAGTTAAATGAACAATCTATCACGCAGAATTTGTAATTTTCTTAACAAAATTAAAGTTCAAATGTTAAAACATAAAAATACAAAAGAGTTGAGTTAAAAGCGGCATACATATTATTTAAAACGATAATTACGTTCATACCCTGCTCACAAGATTGGTTTAAGAATAAAATACTACTAACACTTTGTATGTTGTCATAAATTACAACATGTCAAGCATGAAACAGAATATATTCCTTATTGTATCATCAACATTCCAGCATAGTAGTTACAAGAACCCCAACACAAATTTCATGGGACACATATAGGTTGGATATCACACAAGTTGCCAAAATGTAATGTTCTTCCATGCTCCAAATTTAAAACCCAATGAAATGAGTTGAGCAAGATTCAAAGGCTTAAAAAGCACGTTTAGAATTGTTTGAAAAAACTATTAATATACTAATAGTTACTCTTAAGTATTGACTTCAAATTTTCAAGATAAACGGATGCCCTTCCAAACATTCCAAACAATTTCATTTTGTTATAACTTCCATATCAATTTACAACTACTTCTAAAGCACCACAACCTCAATCTTAACACAATTTTTACCAAACAATTATATTTTTTACAGGACACCACAACACTATAGCACAACATCACAAAGATCAACCCTAAAACAAATCCCAATAAAGGCACACAACCATAAAATCAAACCACTCCATAAAGAAATTTAAGGCTTGAATAATTCGTGATGTTACTACTCCTGCATATAAAACTATTCATCAATACATAAAAGAAAAAAAAGGAGAATTATAAAATGAAAATAATAGGATTTCTAAAAAATGATAAATCAAACATATAAGTAGCTGAAAAAAATCATACCATGGCCGACGACAAGTGAAGAACGAAAAGCGGATGCAATGCGGAAGAGAACGATAAGAGGAAAGATAAACCCGCCATAGCATGAGGTATTTGCCACTGCAAGCATTACTGGTTGGAGGAGCGGAGCAGGAGAAAAGGAGGGGAAGCGAGGTGGAGATCTTCAACAAAAATTATGGAAATTATAACTATACATTGACAATATAAATAAAGTTAAGTGAAGAAGGGGATACCGTGGTTGTGAGAAAACCAAAATGGAGAACGAAAACTTGCTTGCACGCAACTACAAGTGGTACCGTCGGGGGGACACCTGGAAGAAGCTATCAGGCGGAGAAGGATGTGGAGGCTGTCGGCACCGAGGTAGACGACGAGCTCAAAATGGTATATGCGGAATGGAAGGGGCCGAGAGAAGCGAGAGATGCTTCCCTCAAGATTGAGCGTGAGATGCGGACGGGTAGGGTTTTTTGCAGAGCGAGAGGTGAGGGACTTCAGATCGAGCTAGGGAATGAGATGGAGTGACGGAGGAGACGGAGAGCATAAGGGGCACGGGAGGAATAAAACTTCAAACGCCAACCGAATACGCGGAACACAGGCTTCATGCCACGGCTCGCTTCTTTAAGAAATTAAAAACGGGGTTTTGAAATAAGCAGATCCAACGTGCGATCCAAACAGGAGGGCGGCGTTTTCAAAACGCCGCACATACTTATAAGCTGTCCCAAACGGACTTATAGTCTCATGTTCGTCGGATTACTAAATTCGCCGCCGATGTCGCTATCTCTAGGTATACTTTTCTTGTTTAATGGTTTTTTTTTTTTGATAATTTTCTTGCAAAATAATTTAGTTTTTTGGTTTAGGTAGCTGGGCATTCAGAGATTTAGGGATGCCTACATTTAGTGTTAGCTGGATCTCTTCTATTAGTGCATTTAGGTGTTGGCATATTAGATCTCACTTCTTGTTTTGATCACCCTTAAGAAATCATAAACACAATCTCTTTGTTTTATAATTTTTGCGAATGATTATCAATTATGGATTGGTTTTTCACTAATACGATAATCGAATGGATATTACTATCAAACCTACGGCTTTATTTCCTGCTTTTAAGTCGTAACTTGGCCTGCAGGCCTTCAGAGCTCCATTGCTATAATCTCCAATCATGTCTTTTATCCTTTGGGTTTTAGTGCATTTACAGATATACCACTTAATTCCTATGTATTTTCCTATCTAACAACCTGAAATTTACTTTTTTTCATTTATATCACCCAAATCTTCGCCGTGGGGTTCTGGTGAACTCCTCATTGTTTATTGTAGTTCTTTGTGCGGTTCCTAATGTTAACATAAGGATTTTCAATTAATTTTACTTCAAGCTTTATTGCGATAGAAATTTGATTAATTCTCTCATTTACATAAAGGGGCTTATCAGAGATTTCCAATGTGCTAGTCTTTGCAATTTTTGTCTCTTGATTATTTGTTTTTCTCATAAATGATTCATACTACTTATATTAAAACCATGCCATTATATTTCATGAACATTTTAGAAGAATCTGACAATCAATTTGTAGATTTTAGAGTCTGGAAGAAAATTCATGTCAGTTGGAATTGGATTAGTAATGTTAAATCTTAAAAGTATTTATGTAATTATGCGTTTAAGAGGATTTGACTACCTCCATGAACCTCCTTTCTTCTTCGGTAAACAATATATTTTTTTGGACGTCTAAAAGTATGAGATATAACTTGGTCCTAATATTATTTCTAGTTTTGGTGATATTATTTCACTTTATAGTCAATCTTCAAAGTCCAATTATAGAGATAGTCGAATTGTTGGTTTATGGTTCCGCTCGGTTGTGTTTGTCCTCAAGTTAACAAGTTTGTTTTGTTCTTAAGGAATTGGAAGATTTACATGCATACCACTTAATTTGTATGTATTTACATATCAAACACCTAAACATCAATTTATACATCCATACAGCTTTAATCATATGCATGAAAGGTGCATTTCGCTTTTTAAAAGCTAAAATGGTCGCATAAATGTAAAAATCAAGGTTTGTGTTACATATGTGAATACATATGAATAGGGTTGTATGTATGTAAATTCCCCAAAGGAATTTGCTTAGTCTTCTAGTACTCAAACTTGTAATTATCCATATTTACTTTGAGCAATTATTTTTTCTAATTCTAGTATGCCATGAGACAGCTATTCTTGGGCTTGTTTAACTGTCTTTGCGTAACGTGGTTTGTGCTTAACATAGATTTATCTTGCACCATATGAGATGATTCTGTATAGATTCACCGTATGAGATGCTAATATTTTAAGAACTACAATTGTTTTCTCTATTATTAGATTTATTTTCTGAGAATGACAATGCAAGCTTGGCCTCTTCCCGTCGGTTGGCACTGGTGGGGAAGTTCTTCCATGGTCACCCCAAGCTGGATGTCATTCAGAAAAAGTTTGATTCTTTGAAGTTGGTGGGTAGTTGTAAAATCGGTTTGTTGGATGGTAGACATATTCTTATTCAATTAACAAGAGAGGAGGATTATATATGGTTGTTTGTGAGGAAAATGATGATGATTGATGATAGAGCTATGAAGTTTCTTAAATGGTCTGTGGACTTCGATCCACAAACTGAACCTCTGATTGTGCCGGTATGGATTTGATTCCCTGATTTAAAACTACACCTTTTTAATCAAGTATTGTTTTCTCTTGCTGTGATATATGGGAGACCTTTGAAGATGGATTCTCCCATGTTCAACTTAACAAAGCCATTTGTGGCACGTGTTCTGGTGGAAAGGGACATCACTCAAGTTGAGGAAGAAGAAGTGTGGATTGGTTCCCCCCACAAAGGATATTGGCAAAAAGTCATCATTGAGCAGCATCCTCTATATTGTTCCAATTGCCGTATGTTTGGACTTTCTTCTGACAATTGTTACATTCTTCACCCTGAGCTCAAAATTGATGTTAGACAGGTTGGAAAGGAGGTGGTGAAACCTCAGGAGAATGTGCCAATCGAGAAATTGGAGGAGAATGTTTTCGTAGGTGAAGGGGCCATGGCGGGGGAGGGGGAGTCTCATGGTGAGGGTATGCCACAGGTGGAGAAGGCTGGGTTTGAGGATTCTTTTGTGGAAGAGGGTGTAGGGGTGGATGTGGGATTGGTTTCCAATTTGGTGGGTGGTGGTGTTTGCCATTCTGATCAGGGAAAAGCTTTCTTGGAAGTTGCGCATGCTGCTTTGGTTGAGGAATGGAAGATACAGAAATCCAAAAAGAAGAAGAAAGGTAAGTATGAGTTAAAGCACTCAAAAGCAATGCAACATTCCCAATGCTGAAGATCAATATTATTCTGATTATTGTTTTTCTGCCAAACATTGATGTTCTTGTTCATCTTCATTTTGCGGGGAAACACCTATATCAGCGGAAGACATTACTATTTTCTCGTTACAGTTGAATTCACGCTCATGGGTAGATCAACGCTTTTCCCATTCTGATTTTGGCTTTCAGCTTGTTAATATCTCTTTGCATTTTCATATTAGTATTGCTACAGTTAGTTCACTTTTTTTCTTTGGCTTTCATTTTTGTTTATGCTAAGAAAAGAATATGTTGAATGACTTCGCTTATTTCATATTTCTTGTTTGTCATTTGTGATGGATTGCAATAAATTGTGATCCAAAATTAGCTTTGTTACTTTTGCTGTGTCGGTTTTTGTATGCTGATCTAATTTACATGAATGAATTCACACACAACACCTAAAATCTGGTCAAACCATACGAATAATACTTTGTTCTTTATTATCTTTTTCACCATGAACAGGTGAATGTTGATTTCATACTGACTATAATTGAGAGTTTTCTTTAATCACTTCGGTCATTTGAGATGTAATTAAATATAGGGGTTTGTTGTTATATGGAACTAAGAACTCAAGTAAAATAAGCCCTATCTAATATTTATATTAGGTAGGAGAACTCAATGGTCATACATAAAAGGATCACTTACCAAACGAATGTCATAAACTATTTAGTTTATTTAATCGAGTCTGTAATCAAGTGGTATGTCTATCTCTCGGAATAGTGTATTACTTGTGGTATTGTGCTCGATCCCATATTATTTTTCAAAATTACATATCTATATTACATTAAATATATTTTTAAAATTGACCGACAAAAATTCTGACCTACAAATACCCCCTCAACAAACTCAATTGTAATTATCTTCTTGGCTACCATACATACACACACGAGGGATAGAATTATCAAATCTACAAATGAAATGACACAAGAATTGTTAAGTATGTGAATCTGGGATGTTAAGAGAAAGGATGTCACGACAACTAAAATGTCAGGCAACAAAAGTAGGTTGGTGCTAGCAAACTAAGAGTATACTACTGGCATTCTTGAGAATCAAAGCTGAATCAATATCTAGGATTCTCAAAGCATAAAACTAGCATATCGAGGGCACAAAGGGACAGTAATAACATTGTGCAGCTAACCCTAGCAGTTGCACCATGGATGAAGACCAATAAGAATTAAATCTAATTAAGATTGAAATCAATAAATTTGAAAGAGAAATACAATGAGCAAAATAATGTTTAAGGAAAGCATAACACCTACTATGGTGGAGTGGTCTCAATACCCAATGAAGTCGTCATATTTTTATTGACACTCCTTTCTGTTTTGTCGTGATGGCCTTCACGGCTTCTATCCTCTTTAATTTCTTTCTTTCTAGGACAACATTGCTTGAAAAATTATAAATGAAAAGAAATGATAAATTGAAGGTGAACAAAAACTAGAAAGAAAAAAAAAAGTGTAGCTAAAAAGATATTTATATAGAAAAAATTGCATAAAAAAATCAGGGAAGAGTAGTCCAAATTAGACCAAGCTCTACCAAAAAGAATTCTCAAGAATGTTTCTATAGAAATACTTTCGGAACTAAATAAAATCAAATTTATTTTGTTTTAGGTTCTTAGAGACCTCACACGACGACCTATCCTTATAAACAATTACATCTCAGGGAATACCTAAGAAAACTCATGATATAAGGTGTTGTGTTTGCTTAAAAGATTCTTGATACATATGCAACTAAGGAGATTTGTGGTAGTACTATTAGGGGGAGGTTCTCCCGTCATCATATAAAACCAAATTACTAGGTAGAGGGCGATTCACCAGAACATGATAGGTATATACCATTGAGCCAAGAGGGCCATATGTGCTTGGAAAAGACTCAACAAAGGAAATGACTGTGCCCGAAGGGGAAAATCAACAGGTAGGTCAAGGAAAAACTTAGACATTTAGAAATAACCCAGTCGGGCTCCATGGTCCCAACCTCCTAAGGTATTGAGATCCTAGATCTACTAAGTCATGAAGGTAGTTGATTAAACTCAATTGGGGATCGCATTGTTAGCAACCAATGTATTGCATCTTATAAAGTGATCAAGTGGATCTAAAGTTAAAGAAAATAATCATCTAAGTTCCTTATAACTCTATCTGATCACAAAAGGTGGAATATGGATTAAACCTGCTAAGGCTATAGACATGAAACCTATATAGAAGGAAGAAGGAATGGATAGCTCGACCACAAAACTAGGCTATCACACAAAAAACTTATTATCACACTGGATAGGAAGAGCCCTTAACAACCTAAATCATAATAAATAGCAACCTAATCGTATGAACTGGAAGTTGAGCCATTTAAATTGGAAAGCAAGAGTACTTTCTTTGGGTTATGTAGCATGTACTTTGTTATCTAAGATAACCTAATTATGAAGCAATTATTAATCTACAATGGAAATATTTTTATGCATTTGATGACCATTTTCCCAATGGCTATGAAAGAAAGTAAATGCAGGAAATAAAAGTGTTGATTTTGAAATATTATATTTTCAATCGTAAATTTTATTAAGATAATTTTTTAAGATTAGTTTTTGTAACAAAAGATTTAATCTTGAAGAGCTTAAATTTTATTGCATCTAAACAAACTACTAGCATAATAAAGAGTTAACACATGCAAGGTGTAGTGAAAAATTACACTAGATATAGGAGAATAAGATGTTGGGTGCTGTTGTGCAGACTACAATCCAAGAAAAGAAGACACAATCAGAGTCTACATATGCATACAAGATCGTAGAACTATACAATAAATATACAATCAGTAATTAAGGTATGAGGCTCGATCAAACTGATCCCAGTCGTTGCTACATGGTCCCTACTCCATGCTCTAGGACTATTGCTCATACTTTTTTTCCAGTACACATTTTTCTAAGAGACTCTATAAGCACATGGAAAAAATTTGGAAAAAGAGTTGGCCTCCTAATAAAAGTCAGTACGAGCTATCTCATGCAACATTTAAAAGGTCGTATACACGGAAGAGCTAATCAACTCCTATTAAAAATGTATTAGTTTAATTCATTAATAAGCTCCTCAATGTTGGATAGGATAACGTGCAAGAAAAAATTCACCCAGATATGCTAATGCATGAGTCTCAAACTCAATAATATAATCAAAAGGCATGGAAAGTGTACAACAGTTAACACAGAATAATAACTATGTATTGAAATCCCTAACTATATCCTAGCCCTAATTCTAAATAGGAGTTATAAGGTGGCCTATGTGTATATCTATGTGCAAGACATGCAAGTGTAAAGACCTAAGGGTACTCTCACAGGATCTCAACGAGATCATCATTCTAGCCCCATGCCGAGCATATGAATAAACTAACCCTCATCATGATGAGTGGCTAACATTAGCTCAGGCATATACTTGGAACGATTTTATGAAATTCAATAATAAGAAGATAACTCACATTTCTATTGGTTAATATTCAACTTAGAATATTATGAGCTATGTGGCATATTTCTTCAGGCATTCAGATTACTTGTAAGGTTTTTTTTTTTTTTTTCCATTTCTTTTTTCTTTTTCTTGCATTCTAGCTCAGTTATAAAGAAGGGGGCCTCAACCACAAGTCACTAAATTAAGGATTTTGTCATTTTTCATAAGGAAAAACGTGAACTAAAGTATATCAAATTATATATATATATATGTATATATATATGTATATTACAGTAGCAAAACCAGCCTTGCCAACAATATCTTAAAGAAAATGAACAAATTATATATATATATATATATATAATTTGAATAATTGAACCTCAGTTAATTGTCAGCCTCTAAAATTCATTCAACAAAAATAAACTGTTTTTTCTATTAAAACTTCATCAAATTCAAAACTAATCCCAAAATTAAGATTCATCCTGGAGCCCATATTTCCAATGATTGCAAATTACATCAATTTAAAAAACTAAAACAAATATTCAGAAAATTGATTCTGTAACATAAGCATATGATATAAACTATAAAATAACACAGATTAAAATCTTCTCATGATTTCCATGAATCAGAGCCTGCTGGCCAATGGCAAGCCACGATGGTGATTGAGATCCAGAGGAGCTTGGTACGAAAGAGTCCCGTTCGGCAGCTGATGTGGATGTGCAGAGCGTTCCAGTTGTATGTATTTCACGCCACATATTGGACAATTGATAATTGTTCCCTCGGCCTTACTTTCCGAAGGGAATGAGTTCCAGGTTCCATGAATCGGATCCTTCCTTATCATTGATGGCCTGCTCCCACCGCCAAATTCCATTGATAGGTTTGTGAGAATCTTGTTTTGTGAATGTGGAGGGTGAAGAAGGCATGGGCTTATTTTTATAGTGATTTAGAGCAAAAAGTAAAGAGTAATTAAGAGAGTTTTAAGGGTAAAGGAGAGGTTTAGAGTAAATAATGGAAAAGAGTAGAACATTGACCGCATATGTGGATGGTTATTTTGAGGGATGGGGAGGAATGAGGAGGTGAAGTTGTTTGTATTGTGAATGGGGGGTTGCGGACGGTTGTACCTGACATTTTAGAATTTATCATATCATTTTGGACTAGTGCGGTTAACATTCATTGATTGTTATAAATTTTGATTTTAAATGAAGAATTAGTCAATAATGTAAGTCATAATATTTGATCTATAAATAAATAGGCTTTCAAATGATGAAAAACTTTTAACCTAAAATAGTAAAAAATCGTTGCTTTGCTTCATTCTGCGTAAGGCTGTAAAAAAAACTCGTTGTTCGCGAATAATTCGTGTTCGGTTCGTCAATGAGTTCGTGTTCGATTCGTTCGATAAGTAAACGAGACGAACGTGAACAAATTTTTTTCGTTTGGTTAGTTAAACGAACCAAACAAGAACAGAGATGCGTTCGTTCGTGTTCGAATCGTTATAGTTTCAAATATAAAATAATTTAAAATAATTATATATAAAAAAAAAATTACGATATTTTCAAAAATTAAATTTTATAAATTATAATATATAATAAAATAATAATAATAATATATTAATATACTAATATAGATATTATATATTTATATAATATAAGTTATATAATTAATATAATATATTATTTATATATATTAATATTAGGGATGTCAAGCTGACTCGTCGTTCGCGAACAGCTCGTGTTCGCCTCGTTCGTTAAAAACCGAACACGAACAGTTGACTTCACAAACAATTTCAAACACGAGCTTATTTCAAACAAACTAAATTTCAAACGAACCGAACACTAACTGTTTACACCCCTAATTTTACGTGCATTTTTTCTCTTATTAAAAATTCTAATATTCAAATACAATAGCCTTTTTTTCAAACCAAAATGAGCTTCCGTTCAAACCATCAATTTTTTACTTTAATCAAAGAGCAAATCGACATAGATTATTTTTTCTTTTTCTTTTTCTTTATTTTTTTTTAATGACTAAACTGCCGGCTATGCTAAAATTTGAAATAAGCATAAAATAAGCGAATCCCAACCAGAAGGGTATAAAATACCTTCGATTATCACTGTGAGATCGTAATTGTAAATCATATCCAACACAGTCATCTGTACTACTGCAATTACTAAACTTACCTCACTACACTCTATATAAATCAATGTGTCAAGCAGTAAGCATAGGTATTAATACAACAAAATTTATCTAAATTATTTCTCTCCACTTTATTAATTGCTTTATGATGTTAGAGATTCATGTGTAACAACGCCTCTCCTCCCTTCAAATCTTCGCGGATTCACTATTGACCTCACTTTTGTGAACCCTATCCTCTTTGTAGGAACCCAAGGTTTAGCCTTAGGAGCTTCCTTGTGGCTTTCTTAGATACTTAGAGTTGGGACCAAAACCCACATAGAACTTCAAACCATCTCAATATTCACTTAGGGTTCATAGGTTAAGCTCAAATCCTTAACCGGGTTGAGATGGTGAGGGTTTAAATCAAAAAGCTTCAAGTTACCCATTGACTTAAGATTCTTAGGAATCCTTAGGGTAGCCTACTATCCTCCCCAAAAAACTTTGGCTTTTTTCTTGGTTTGGAAAAAGCTCATTGGACATGAGGCTAATCCTGGACAAAGGAAGGACTCACCCTTCTAACCAAAACCCTAAAAGAAAATGAAAAACATCCTGAAATTAAAATTTAAACCTAAGAATGAAGGGGATAATAAATTAGGTTTGAAGCCTATCAATTTTCTTTCTCATGCCCAAATAACCCTAAAATCAAAGTGAGCACTAATGCATTAAATTAAACCTTAAACTAAAATTCTCAACCCATCACAGAAAATTAAAATTAAATTATTCTATTGACAAATTTTAATAAAATTAAAATCTATGTTCAACTAAATTTCAACAATTAAAAATTATTGAAATCCAAAGTCAACCAAAAGTTAATCAAAAGCACAAAAAATCAGAAGGACAACATAATGAAATCAAAATTAAACCAAAATAAAATAAACAAAATTCATAATTAAATAAATCAAATTAATTACTTAATTAAGATAATTCTAAAGTCGAAAAGGCAAGCCCAACCAATAATCTCTTAAAGGCCCAAGCCCAAACTTTAAAACAAAAAAAACCCAAAAAACCTACTTATTACCCAACAACCCAACTAGTGATTAATTAGGTTAAATGGATCTTAAAACGAACACTAAAGGACAAAAGTTGCACACTTAACCAAAGCATCACCACATGGCCCCTCTGTCTCCCTCTGCCATCCTATTCCACTGGTTTTTATCCCTTTTTCTTTGATAATATGGGGAGGACTAGGCTCTGCTCAAGTTAGCCAAGACATTCCCACCCACCCACGAGGGCCTCTCCCCCTTCTACCGGTGATGTGTGTCATGAACCTAAAAAAATGTGTCAGATTTGTTAGTGATGCTTCAGTATCTAGTACAAGAACCTTTACAAATTTAAAATTATGTAAATTTGATTAGTATAAAAAAATTAAAACTAGCATTCTATTTCAAATTAAGTGATCATACCTTGAACTCTCAGAACCACATGTCTCGAGTTGCAACCATGAACTGCTTCTATCAGAGATATGCATGATCATACATGCTCCAGATAATCTTCATAATGCATGTCATGGTAGGTCTGGCAGTAAAAAGCCTGAAACTGAAATATTAATAAAAAAAATATTGAAATGAAATTTAAACTTATTGTAATGTTAAAAAAAAGATAAATTACAAGTCTCCCTCATGAGAAGTTTACACTTTGTCGGAGGTGTCATCCATCTGAGGGTTGAAGTCAAGGGACCTGGCTCATTGGAGAATAAATCTTGATTGAAAACTGGTGCGGGTGTGGGAGCTAGTGCCTGTGAGGCAGCAGTAGTGAAGGGGCAGAAGAAGGAGTGATTAGAGTGGTTGTAAGAATTTTGTACATGTCAGAGGGTTGAACAACTTTCTTCAGCCTCCCGTACGTGTTCCCCAAAGATCTTTGAACACAAAGCCTCTCTGAGGGCTGAGCTTCTGCCATTTGTAATAGAAAAAAGAACTTTATCAAAATTAGTAAGCATGAGAAGTACATTATCACCTGTCGAAGGTGCCATTTATAACTGAACTACTTCTTTAAGTATGTCGTAATATCAGATCTCATTATCTGCATGTGTGTTTCCTTTAACACAAACACCACAAATATAATTATGCTTCCCTCACACCAAAAATTTTTATGAAATCTGTAACCATTTACATCAAATATTTTCCATACCTTGACACTATAACTAGGCCCCCAAGCAAGATCTAATAAGCTGTGGTATATGATTTTGTTGCATATAGTATGAACTTAGAAGAAGTTCCAAATTAAAATTAGTTTTAGTTTAAATTTTACAATGATATGACGTACTGATTAATTGGAGAGTTACAAAATAAACACATAATTTGAACCATATTGGAAATTCTTCTTCGATCTTATTACTTATTTCATCCTTTATATTCAAGATGTTGGAAAATAACCTGCTTATGTCATTATTATTTGTACGTTTGAGTTAATTGGTATATCAATCTAAGTAATAACTGAGACAATTTTTTATTAAATTTAATATTACTTTATGAATGTTCAGGCTTCATCAGAGTTCAGAAGAACAAACAATGAAGATTTGGCTTCTACCACAAGGTTGATGAAACTCAAATGAATTTCCTCTACCAATGTATTAACATATCCCCTAAGCGTAATGGACATGATATTCTCTTCTTGAGGCCAGCTTTTCATTGCTTCTATTTTTTACTTTTTTCTCTGAATGTCTTAATAATTCTTTCTAGATTATAAGGAACTAATTAAAAAGATGGCATCCTATGCATGCAATCATAGAACTAATTAGGGACCCGAACTAATTAGGGACCCTAACTAATAGATGGAATAGGTTAAATCCAGTGAAATACTCAAATAAAAAGCTAAGCAAAAACACATGCTGAATTTACAAAGGAACATAACACAAATTTATAATCTCCAAAATGTAGAATAAAAGGAATACATGTCGAGCATTAAATCAAGAGAGCGTAATATTTTTTATTTTTTCTAGATAACACAATAAATAATAAAGAAATATTGTAAAGAAAATGACACAATATGTTTTAAGACTAGAATCTTATGTTTTCAACTAAATTTTTTCTATGCTAAAAATTAAATTTGATTCCCCAATAGTGGTGCAAAAAAATTAATACAAGTAAAATGCATGAAGCACTAGCAATACATGCAAGTATAAATGTCTATCATGTAATATACAAAACTAAATTCGTGTAATGATCCCACGAGGAATGAGTTAACTTTCAAAATTGGAAAAAAAGTTTTATTTTACTAATTGTAAGTATAGCTTGAAATGTTGAAGCATTACTGGTTTTTTTTAAGGTCTTTCAACTTGCAAAATCCAAATCATCAAAGATTAAGGTGAGAAGTTTTATTAAGTGAAGGTTTCACTTATGATTTAGATTCTAAGAACCTAGTGCTAACAATGTGAATTTGTTAAAGGTAATGATTAGGAACAAAACTCCTCCATAGCCCCTCCCAATGGTTGAAAGTAGGTTTGGAAATTTGAATCAACATTAAGTTCCTAAACTATGTAAATTTTTACATGATCATATATTTCCCTTCATGATCGCACTATCAAAAAAATAATATTCCTATTCTCTTAAGTTAATGTGTGCTAACTTAATAGTTCCACTATGCTTCCTTTCAAAATCAAAGTTCACAATAAATTTTGATAAAAAAACTGGCCAAGCTAAGCGTAAAAAAAGTAAATTTTTAACACAAAACCACAAATAAATTCAAATCTATCACATCAAGGAAATTTTAATTCTATGACTTCTAATAACTAAATTAGAGGATAGTTTTTTGTTCTTTATAAAAATTAAAGTCCTTAGCTCGTCTATTCATCTATCATTAATTTAATCCCTTTTCAAATAAATCTTACTCTCAACTCACAGAAATGACTCGAAGAGGAGAAAAATCGGAAACAAGAATATACGACAAAAATAGATAAATAAATTTATAAAGAAATATGGAAGGCTTATATAAAGTACTTGTCATATGATAGGTTTAGAGTACACGATCAAATAAAATTAGATTAAAATACCACAAATCACGATATCCACGAAGAG